ACAAATCTGTCTTAACTTTGGGGTGATCAAAAGTTCTCCACACAAGCAGTGGGACTGGTCCCACATGGTATGGATGTAATACATCGGTGCCCATGAAGTACACTCTTGAAGGTGGCTGATGTGGCAAAAGTTGATGTTGCGCATATTATACTGCCATTTAAAACATTTTATTAGGAAAAATAGGTAATTGTTTCTTATGTTTCATAAGCAGACTAGACAGAATTGAAAAAGAAGAGTAGATATTCACAGAGAGTGTTTTCATGGGGGACAGACCTGTAGTGGGACCTGTCAGAGCCACAGCTGAGGAAGAATTGTGAAGGCTCTCAAAGGAAGGGGCACCGGTCTTTAAAGGTTTTGTAGCTCTGCACTAGGCTGGTCCTTAGCCCCCAGAGCCCCTGGTACAAAGACATTGTTTTCCTCATCAGCACAGAGATGAGTCGACACCCTTCAGGATTCCAGACAAAGCCTAGGCCAACCTCATGCTTGCAGGGAGTAATAGCATGCTACTACAGAAACGACAGCTCAGCTGGTGCCTCTTCTAAGCTTTCAGAATCATAGGATAATGGCTCTATCTGAGGATTCAATCTCCAGTGCTTTTATTCTTTGTGTATAATCTTCTTCTCACCACTTTCAAAAGTCAGAGGGAACATTGTCCACATTTGATTTGACAGTGGAGGATAAACTCTCTTAGGACAACTGAACTCGATATCACTACTTACCCGCAGCCCCAATATACCTCTGAAAGATGATATTTCATCTCTTTTTTCTGTCTGGTCAATTTCTATAGACAGCCATAAATTGTATAGTTAATTCTTGTTACAATTAGGTGCTGTCAAGTCAAATCCAACTAACAGAGGCTCTGTGCACGACAGAATGAAACGCTGGCGGTCTTGCCACGCTCACGATCACTGCTGGGTTAGAGCCCACTCCTCCAGGCACGGTGTCAATCCACTCCACTGAGGAGCTTCCTCTTTTCCGCTGGCCTTCCACTTTACCAAGCATGACGTCCTTTTCCAAGTACTGGTCTCTCCTGAGGACATGGCCACTGTACATGAGGCAGTCTCTCTGTCCTCACTTCCAAGAAGTTCTCTGACTGTACTTCTTCCAAGACAGGTGTGTTTGTTCTCCTGGCAACCCATGGTAATTCACGATTCTTGACCAAAGCCATCATCCAAATGCATCCAATGTCCCGCGGTCTTACTTACTCATTATCTGATTTCCTTATTCCTGGTTTAACTCTATTGTGCATATGAAGTCATTGAAGACGGGTGCACCTTATTCTTCAAAAAGACATCTTTGCTTTTTAACATTTAAACGAGTTCTTTGGCTGCAGATTCAACCAATGCAACACTTCATTTAATTTCTTGAGTGCCACTTTCAGTCAATATAGTTAACACTAATACGTAGACAATACAGAAATAACTCTACAGAAATCTGACCTTATTAGACAAAGTAGCTTCTCTAAAATTCTTTTAAAAGCTCTTATGAGGACATGAAAGCGCAAGTGCTTTGTGGTGTGCTAGCCAAACAAAGGGTACCATCATTGAAACTTGACCTGAATTCAATACAGTTATCAACATGGATCAAACAGATGCCGCTTTTAATATCATGAATCCGGTCTTCTTCCTTTTGAATCTTATCCTTTTGGGGGGAGGGGTGGGGAGGAGTGTTTTTTTCTCTGGTTGAAAATAAATTGTGGATGGAAACCAAAGTCAAAGTAGCAACTTAAAAGATAGGTTAGCAACTCTCTGTAAATCAATCAAAACAGGTGGGCCCAGTGTGAACCGTGACCGGGGTAACGCAAGTGACAGATTAGTAGATTTTCCTTAGGGTGGAAATACAGGACTGAGGGCTTACCAACGGCATATTGGAGATGGCGAGGTGCCTTGGCTCCCTTCTGATCTTGACTGAGAAACTCGCTTTCAGGGCGGGTTCATCAAAGCAGGGAAAGGCCATTCGAGCTGCAGTGGGTTCAAACTGTGTTGATGCAAGTACCCTAAAATTGTAGCCAGGGAAAGAAAAATGAAGCAACAGGGACTCTAGCATTGCTTTAAAATTTTTTTTTTAATTTCTAAAGTCACCTTAGATTGATGGCTATGAACACATGTGCACACACAAAGAAATAAACAATCTTTTATATGGCATACACTATAATCAACCAATTTTTAAAATACTGAACAAGGTTAATTAAGGCAAATTTGGCAAAGTGGTTGGTAGCCTGCATCAATAATGATCTCTTAAAAATTGGTACGGAAAAATATCCAACCAAGTCTTCGTATAGGGAACAAAGATCATCTCAAGCCATTCCCAAAAGAAAAAGTCTACACATAGTCCATAGAGATCTCAAAAGTTGCACAATAATAAACCCATTATCAGTTCCACCGCCTAGTGACCCGATAGTGACCCGATAGAGTCCCTATAATGTTTCCAAAGCTCTGAATCTTGATGGGCACAGACTGCCACATCTTTCTCCCAGGGAGTGGCTAGTAGATTTGAACCGCCAACCTTTCAGTAAGCAGCCAAACTTTTTAAGCACCATGCCAGCATAGCTCCTCTGTACCTCTTGGAGGAAGCAGAAAGCCTCATTTCATGTTTTCCTCGCAGAGCGACTGGTGGGTTCCCACTACTGACTTTGCCAGTCTCGGCTATGGGTAAAGGAATGTGGCAAATGTACAGACACTGGGACTTAGCCATTTTATATCTAAGCATTTATTCTTTAAAAAAAAAGACTAATACATTATGGAAAGGTACAATTGCAAAGATGTCCATCAATGTATTAAAGCTGATACTAAGAAGTTGACAGCGATCTAATTTCCATCTCTGAGAGATTAAAAAATCATTGAATAGACCACAAACAGTCATTAACATGTTGCTGCACCCTGACAGTCAGCCACATAAAATATCTCCCCAACATAGTAAGTAAAACAACATTGCTATATATCAGGAAATATAAGACAATTCCAATTTATTTCTCACAAATAGCACGTATGCATATCCAGAAATTGGTCTGATGAATGTTTCCATAAAGTAGCAGTAGCAATTACTTCTCGGGTTATGGTTTGGATAAAGTTTACTTTTAAAAAATCTTTTTAATAGTTTATTCATTTTCTAGAGGTCCAAAAAGCACCTGACATTTTTACCTGTAGAAAAGTATGTCATCAGAAATGTAAAGTAGTATATACTCCAGAAATAAATTTTCATTCTAAAATTTACAACAAACTCTCCCAAAATGGGTCACCTCCTTGAGAACAGATCCAAACCAGGTAGGTGAAGCATATTACGCCTACAGTATTAAAATAATTTACTACTTGATCTCAGAAATGTAACCAAACTAACCAGCAGGTGTTTATGGTGATAGAGCTGGGAGAAGGGAAAGTGGTTAAAGGAAGGTGACAAGGGAAAAATGAGCAAGGAAAGAGGGAATCTATTTGCCATTTTTAATTCCATAAAGAAGATGTCAGAAGAAAGAAAGGGTTGTTCAATGATTAAAAGACCTTCGAACTCACTGCCATCAGCTTGATGCTGACGCCGAGAGACCCCACAGGACAGGGAAGAACTGACACCCCCCCCAGGGGAGTGGGGGGGGTGTCCTGAGGCGGTAACTCTTTACAAGAGAAGAAAGCCTCCTCTTCCTCCTATCGAGACGCTGGTGGTTTCAAACTGAGAGCCTTGTGGTTAACAGCCCAGCGTATAACCACTTTGCCACCAGGGCTCCTAGTCAATGATAATGGGATGGTCCACCTGAAAAAGTAGATTTAATGTGAACAACATTTGAAGCATATAAAAAAGAAAAGAATTACCTCACTTCTCCTTCCTTGGTTCTGTAGGTGCTTTTATAAAATCCATGGAAACTCTCCGAAAGATTGCCAGCATAGTCGATAACAATAGTGTATGGGACCCCAACAAGGAGGGGCTCGGGAGCCAGAAGTGCGATTTGCTCATGAGGCTCATATTCCAGGACCCTCAGCAGATCTTCGGACAGTCTCTCTCCAGCCCCTTTCCTGAGGGTCACCTTAGATATTTGCAGATGGAGGCTGTGCAGGACAATGGTGCTGGTGGGCTGGCTGACCGTGATTCTGACCTCTGTCGTCCCCCAGAAGGTCAGAGTGGTGAGATTTGCATGGATCAAGAGATCATAATGAACAGGGATGACATGCTCAGGAAGTCGCATTTTATTCCAAGGAAATGGCTCTCCATTGCTAGCTTTTGGAGCTGTGGTGCCACTGCTCTGGCACCACGAAGGAGTTGACACCATCAAGAGAGTCACCAGTGAGGGGACCAGCAGAAGAGACATGCTTGCAAATGGCCATGGGAGGCACGGAGATATCATCTTCTCCTGGCTCAAAATACCTATGGGAACAAGTATTGAAAGCAACATTAAAGAAATGAAAATCGAGAATTTCTAAAATTATTAAAATTTAATTTCAGAATTAGTAGATAGGGCGGCCATTTTCCATAAATGCTAGGTCTTTTCCTGGAAGCAAAATTCCCTTCCATATTTTACTGATTCACAGAAGAGGCTAGTAACACTATGGTGAGTAACACTATGGTGAGCAACACCATGGTGAGCAACACTATGATTAGTAACACTATGGTGAGTAACACTATGGCTAGTAGCACCATGGTGAGAAACTATGGTGAGCAATACTATGGTGAGTAACACTATGGTGAGTAACACTATAGTGAGTAACACTATGGTGAGCAACACTATGATTAGTAACACTATGGTGAGTAACACTATGGTTAGCAACACTATGATTAGTAACACTATGGTGAGTAACACTATGGCTAGTAACACCATGATGAGAAACACTGTGGTGAGCAATACTATGGTGAGTAACACGATGGTGAGCAACACCATGGTGAGTAATACTATGATTAGTAACACTGTGGTGAGTAACACTATGATTAGTAACACCATGGTGAGTAACACCATGGTGAGTAACACTGGTAAGTAACACTATAGTGAGTAGCACTATGGTGAGCAACACTAGGTTGCTGTTCACTGCCGTGGAATAGGCCTCCCCCCCCCCCCACTGTGGTCACCACAAACACAACAGACTGAAATGCTGCATGTGTAATTGCAGACGATGGGGTCCCTCCGCTGAATTTTGGTGGCAGACTGCCAGGCCTTTCTTCCTAGACTGTCTTCTTCTGGAAGCTCCATTGAAATCTGTTCAACATCAGAGCAGCAGCAAAGCTAACGCTGACAGGCTAAACATGAAGTGCCCTGGCTGGGACTCAAACCAGGGTGACCTCAGCTAATTGGTTATAATTCCCTCAGGCTCTGACCAGAACAGAAAAGTAGTCAGGCTACAATGCAGATCCCACAGACAGCTATGGTCCAAGAAATTCTCTCTGTGAAATAAGTCAGAGGGTCTCAACTCTGGTTACCTACCAAAAAAACAACAACAAAACAAAACAACCCTCTCACTGCCATCGAGTTGATGCTGACTCACAGTGACCCCAGAGGACAGGGGAGACCTGCTCGGGAAATTTCTGAGACTGCACCTCGTTAGGGCTGTAGAAAGTCCTGTATTTCTCCCTCAGAGCAGCTGGTGGTTTTGAACTGCTGACTTTGCAAATCTCAGCCCAAAGAGTAACCACTACACCACCAGGGCTCCTGAGCAGTACCTAAAGAGACTTTCAAAACTATTACTGCCTGCATCTCTAGAGGGAATAATGAAGTTGGTGCTCAGAAGAGCCTATCAATTGGGTTAAAAGAAAAACAAGAAGCATTTGTTTAAGGAGCCAGCATTGAGAACCTCCTACAAAATCCTTGTCGGCTTGACTTGGAATTGACTCAGTCACAAGGGGTCTGGTTTGGGTTCAATCTTGGTCTTATCTTTGAGCTTTATATGGTGCAAGGCAATAACTGATGTCCTTTCCTCAGCCCCTCATTCTTCATTCCACTCCCCCTTCTAAAATACTTAGTTTAAGCTACCTATCTCCCTAGACTGAGAGGATCTGGAAGCTCAACAGAAGGGTACTAATCCAGGAGACACAGTCAACTGCCGAGACAATCCCAGCTCAAAAGGCACGATGCAGACGGGGCAGAAAGGAGATGTGAGCCCGGGGAGCAAGTATTGTTTGGTTTTGTCTAGGGCAGTGGTTCTCAACCTTCCTCATGTCACAACCCTTTCACACAGTTCCTCATGTTTGGTGACCCCCCAACCATAAAATTACTTTCGTTGCTACTTCATAACTGTCATTTTGCTACTGTTATGAATCGGGGGAACCCTGTGAAAGGGTTGTTCGACCCCCAAAAGGGTCGCAACCCACAGGTTAAGAAGCGCTGGTCTAGGGACCAACACTAGTTTATTTCCATCTACAGAGGAGTGGGGCCATTTGGAGAAGAATAACATTTAAGCATAAGCACAGGAAGGCATCCCTGCCCTATAATCTCGGGGTTGGGTGCAGGATAGTGGGTTTCCCCGAAGTTCAGGGCCTAGAGAGTAAAAGTGATCCATGCCCTGCTTCCACCGGTACTGTCTGAGAGCAGAAGCTTACTGGGTGTAGCTTGCGACCAAGACAGAGAGTGGCCCGGAACTGGCAAGTTCAGGCATGTCAGGACGCTGGATGCGCTTGAGCTTGCTCCAACAGCCAGAAGATCTACAACTTGCCCCGGTTCTAAGCTGACAGCCAGGCACACGGAGCTACTGAGGGCTTTGTGGGGAGACCTCTAGAGGCTTTGCAGAGTTGAGTCCATCGGGGGCCCAAGAAGAACATGGCAGTATCTCTAGGGCAACGAAGCTGTGGCAGGAAACGAACATGGAACATGGGAGAATGACAGGCTAAGTGTCAGAATGTATTCACCCACCTCGAATAGATAAATGAGGACCGTGTCCACAAGAGCTAGGTCTTTACAGAGCGGAAACAATCTGCTTCCTATTATTGACTTAACTTGCAGGGGGAAGGTTACAATGAGGCACAGACATGGGTGCGCCACTGAAGTTTACTCTCCGTGGACTCCTGGACAGAATTCTCCTTTAGAATTTGTAACACTTCATGGAACTTCTGTTGTTGACATGTGTGTTTCTCTTTACTCATTTTTTTTAAGGAGTCCAAATCAGGGAGTGTGCCTTATTGGGCTGATCTATGGAGAACACTGGCTTAATAGTTGAGATTAAAGGATTGAAATGAAGCTCACTCCCCTAGGGCACCAGACTTAACAATTTCCCCCAAAACAGCCTTTAAAGGATTCCCTCCATTTCAGACTTCTTGACCAGGCGGCCAAGACCCTCTGGGTCTGGCAAAGTGGGAAACTAAGGCCTTCACTCCAAAAGACCCCTATTTCCATCCTAGGATTCAACTGTGTGCTTTGGGTGATGACAGAATATACGTTCTCAGTACTTTTCTCTCTCTACATCCCTGTTCACGAGTTCCCTCCAACTTAGCTTTCTTTCAAGGCTCAGTTATTTATTTGTTAGTAGTTTTATAGGCATAAAATTCACATATACAATGACAAGAGATCTCCAGTCATCACCAAAATCCGTCTTAGAACATTTTCTTCTTTCTTATACTCATTGTTAGCTTCCCATTTCCCCACAACCTCTCCTACCATGCTCCCAAGGAACCATTAACCCAGTTACTGTCTCTATAGATTTACATGTCCTGGATTTCATATACAGGAAAACATTTTTGAAAACTGACAATAAAAATAATCTATAATTTATCAAAGGTTCATGAGAGAGGGAGGTCAGGGGACGGAGGGGGAAGAAATGGGGAGCTGCTATCAGGGGCTCAAGTGGGAAGAGGATGCTTGGAAAATGATGATGTCGGCATATGTGAAAATGTGCTTGACACATTGGAGGAACGTATGGATTGTGATAAGAGATGTAAGAGCCCCCAATAAAAGTATTTTAAAAACCTGACAATAACCAAGTAAAACTTCAAATGAAAAGAAAGCAGGAAATATTAAAAACTAGGACAAATAAACCTGGATCATTAGGAAGATCAAATGACAGGTTGTTAAATTTTAAACTAACTGCATCTGCAACCATCATTTTCCATGCATTCTACATGTGAGCAAAGCTATTCACATCCTTAATTTATGGTCAGAGGGGATTCACTGGGGCTCAATCTACATGTATTTCCCCTTCACATTTTTTTAACTAAAACAGCTTTAAAATGGGCCAAAAGGGAGATCATATATTATATTTTGACCTTTGTATGCAAACATGGTCTTTACAGTGCTCTCTGTCTGATAACAAGGCTATTCACATCCCTTCACTATGATCAGAAGGGGTTCATCAGAGGCTTCATTCACGTGTGGACCCTACAAGTGGATTTTGGGCTTCCACGGTCATCCATAGCCTTCTGCAAACCAGGTGTTCACAATTTAAACTCTGATCCCATTCCCTCCTCTAGCTTTGGATTGTATTATTTACAATCCTTAGATCACACTGGCTGGTGTGCTTCTTCCATGTGGACTTAGTTGATCAAGGCCCAATTTAAATTTGACATGCCATGGGACTCTTCCCTGGACATTTCAGGCAGAAGTGACATCTGTATTTCCTCTCATGGTTTCTTACCACACAAAGTCTTTGCAATACTACACACATGTAACCTCTTTCCTGTAATATTATAAACTCTTTGCAAGCATATGTGTATATCTGTATTTCCCATAGCACCTAGAAATACATTGTGTATATATGAGGCTCACTGGCATAAATAGAGGATGCCACCAATGATTTTCCTCATTCAGCCCCAACGATAGGCTACAGCCAAGATTCTGTGATCGTGTTCCTGTGTGTTTGGCTCTTTCCCTCAAAAAGGCAGCACTTCTTGGCAACCTTCACTTATAATAGTAAGCGTTCTACTTTTAAAACACAGCCTTTCATTGTTTGGGCAGGTCTTACAGAGTCTGTTTTTATTCATAATTCTCTAAAAGGGGGGCAGCTCAAATGAAGGCTCTCAAGAATTGGAGTCTCCTCAATATAAACAGGCTGTTCCCCAAAAGAGCACAATTCTTTTTGAGGTTAACCTCCACAAGCACTTGGGATAGAGGCCAAGTAAGGAAAAGAACTAGTATCTATCAGGCTCCTGCTGTTAAGTGTCCGGTACTTTACACACATTATCTCTCTCCAGCAGCCAGTTGTTATCCCCACTTTGGGGTGAGGACACACACACACACACACACACACACACACACACACCAAAAGACAACTGCATGTGATTGAGCCAAGTTTAGATGGAATCCAAGTAGCCTTGCTTTCACTGCTTCCACAAAGTCTCTGGGCTTTCACTTTCTACTTTCCTATGTGACCTCTACTTATTTTGCACTTTCTGCAGTCTCACGGTGCACACAATGGAAGGAACAAGGTAGTCTCTGTTATTTGTGGGAAACA